GCCCCAACACAATGGCACATTCACTGCGCAGTAAACACCGCCTCTCTGCTATTGTCCTCGGTAAACAGAGGGGGAGGTGCCACGCTTCTCGGCTGCCTGGGGAGAAGGCTCCTTGGAGCTGGGAGCCCGGAGCGCACGTCGCTGTCCTTATGAAGAGCTACTCAGCTGTCACCTGCCGTCTGGAGAGCGACGCTTCTCCGGGGGCCGATTCTCACGGAGGCGGAGGCTCGGCCCGACCTGGGCCGGAGAGCAGCCGGTCTCAGAGCCAGAGGGGCCCCACCCGGGTTGGTCGCCATCCCCACCCCGGCTGTTCGTGAGGCCCGGGCTGGGTCGCAGGCCCTCTGGGGTCACCGTCTTTCTCCTTAAGGCCACCTCTCCCCCACCCCCACACTCTGGGCTGCGCATCTGTCCTGCTCTGACCCGACTGTCCAAGCTTAAGGATGTCGCTGAGACGCAGGGCCGGTCACTCACAACCCGACGTCCTGCGCCCTGGCCTGACCTCCTGCCGACCCGGGCACCGCTCCGGGCTCTCCCTGGACGTTCGGCTCGGCAGCGCCCACAGTGGCTCAGGCTGCCGCTCGGGGATTTCTCGGGAGAAGCCAGAAGCCGGCCTTCCTTCGCGAAGAGGCAGTTGCTGGCTGCGAAGGGAATGCGCGCTGGGCCTCTGGGGTGAGGGGTGGAGGCCTGGGACTAATTAGGCTGCTAATTAGCGACTTCCAAGTGGGTGATTGTCCCGCTGGCTCAGTCTGCTGCGATGCTCGTGCGCGCTCTCGCTCTCTCTCTCTCTCTCTCTCTCTCTCTCGTGGAAATTGGTGGCTCCAGGGAGGGGCTGAGAGCATGGGAGTGGGGGGGCCGGGAGCATGGGAGTGGGGGGGCCGGGGGCAGGGCCGCCTGCGTGCTCAGGGAATCTGATGGCGGGTGCGTCGCAGGAAACCAACATGGGGCCCGGAGCCGGTAACAGCCAGCTGCCTGGGAGGGCGCTCTTTGGGTGCAGGTGGGGCAGCCCTGCCCCAAGAGTAACCCAGGGCCAGGGCTCGAACTGGGCCTTCAAAGCAGGCTCCCACATGGTTCTGGAGAAGTGGGGCCCCCGCCCCGGGACATGCCGGCGCAGCGGACAGACTTGCGGGGCGGTCGAGGCCGCGTGGCCCGGCGCGAGCGGATGGAGGTCGATTTCACGTGTCAGCCTGCCAGGCCACGGGGCCCAGGTCAAACGTCCCCCTGGGGGTGGCCCTGGAAGCGGTGGGCTCAGCGGTGTGGGCCCCATACAACTCGCTGACGGCCTGCGTAGAGCGAGCGCCGAAAGAGGAGGCTTGCCCCCCACCTGTCCGCCTGGGCCGGGACCCCGGTCTTCTCCTGGCCTCCATCCGGGGCCTGCACCCTCGCTCCCCAGGCCTCCCGCTCACAGGCGGCCGTCGGGGACCCTCAGCCTCCGTGGTCAAGGGCCAGTTCATCCCTCCCCCCCTTTCTCCCTCCACAGCCCCCCTCTTGGCCCTGCCCGTCTCGCGGGGGCAGGCTGCTTATCCCACGTTCTGTGCCTCAGTTTCCTTACCTGTCAAGCAAGGATGATGACTATTTTAATTATTTCATAAATGTGCGTACCTCCTGTATCTACTGTCGTGTAGGGCCCCTCTCGTCTTCAAAACCCCAGTGACATCGATACTGAGGTGCCCTCCCCACATTGGAGGTGGGAAACTGAGGCACAGAAAGTGGAAGTAAAACACCCAGGACCCTGCACCTCTGCCCCAGGCTCACACAGGCCCGGCAGCCCTGTCTGGTGGGTCCACAGGTCCAGCTCACACGCTGGGTTATTAGATGATGTTAACAATGTATCTGATGTTGCGGTAATAATGTATCTGCTTCTTCATCTGCGTTCTCTCCTCACTGCCGCTGCCACGGGTGGGGAGCCGCAATGGGAGCCACCGGAAGCTCAGCCTCGTCCCCCCCCCGCCCCCGGGTGCAGCCGGGGCAGGGGGCCTGGCTCCCTCAGCATCCGTCCCCGAGAGCCTGCGGTCCCACAGCAGCACTTGGAATAAATGATCCAGTTATGAATTAAACGCAGCAGAATGTAATTACCGTGGGAGCCAGCTGAGAACAAAATGCATCACACATACAACAGCCATTAAGTTGTCGCATGTGTCTATCTGACATGCTGCCGATCGAAATAAATCCCAGCGCAAGTCCTCGCTGGGGGCAACTGCTCCCCGCAACCCACCTTTGTGCCCGGAGCAGCTGGCACACAGAGCCCGGGCGTCTCGCCCACCAGCACAGCCCGTCCTTCGGGGACGGCGGCTTCCAGCCTCAGACCAGAGCGGGGCCACCTCGGGGCCCTGGGAGAGCCGAGGGCGGCAGGCGAGCACGCTTACGTTTCAATAATGTTGCTTTTTTAAATGTGAGCTTTAAACAGTCCCCAGCCCAGCCTGGAGCCCGTTCAAGGGCAAAGACGGGAGTGAACAGATCTAGACGCTCTGGCTTCTGCCAGGTACTGGGGTCCCACCCCACAAGGGGGACCCGGGGTGGCCTCCCTCAGGGTCCCAGGCCCCCGCCACCCTCCTGCCGGGCCCGGGTCCCTGTTGCTCAGCGTGGTGTGCCCAGCTTCTAGCTCAGCCCCAGGCCCCGCCCAGCTCCCTGGCCAAGGGGGCAGCCGGATCAGGATTTGTGGGAAGGGTGGCGTCCAGCTCACGGTCACAGAAAGGTCCCCAGGGGAGGGAAGGGAGAGGGCCCTCCACGGCTGGCATGTATCGGGGAGAGGACGCAGGACGGCAGGTGGCCCCGTGGCCTTCAGGGAGCCCGACACCCACGACGTGTCTGTGCTGCCCTCTGGTGCCCAGTGGCCGCAATGGCGGTTCCGCACCCCCCCCCCCCCCCGCCCCGACCTGGGGCCGGGTGGCGGGGCTCCGAGCTCACACCGGAGGCGGCGCCAGGGGAGCCCAGGCCCGGGCGGAATCAGGAAATGCCTGCGGGCTCGGCCCGTGCGGGCCAGGCCCTGCCGAGGCCTTGAGTGCCACGTGCCTGGCGCCTCTGCGTTGCTTCTTCTGAGAGATGCCTGCTGAGAACTCTGCCATATCCGGAGCCTCCAGGAGACGCGGCCACAGGTCCCCACGAGCCACAGGTGGGAGGACACCCGGGGGGCTGGGCTGCGCTTAGGGCCCCGTGGGACGGGGGCCTGTGGAGGGGCTCCCCCAAAGACCGACCCTGACCCAGGTCCCCAAGGCTGTGGCAGAGGGCGCGGCCTCCATGGGGGTCCAGGGCACCGGCCTGCAGGTGGGCGAGGCGGGGAGCCCAGGGGCCGGTGTCCCACTAGAGGGCGCCGTGGGAGCGTCCTGGCAGGGCGGGGCGGGGGGGGCGGGGGCGGGGACCCAAGCCAGGCAGGTGCAGGGAGGTGGCTGGGCCCAGGGGTCTGCCCATGGCTGGAGTGGAGAAGCAATTTCCGGGGAGTTTGGGGGTAAAAGGGAGGAAACAGGACCCCAGGCAGCAGAGGGGCGGAGGTGTCAGCGTGAGCAGGAGGCGGGGCAGGGAGCCCCCGGAGGGGGAGGGAAACCCCGTCATCTGCTCCTGTGGGGCACGCGGTGCTGGCAGCAAGCCCCGGAGCATGTGCGGGGACAGAGCACACGTGTCCCTCGGTCACCGCCCAGCCTAGTCACCACGCGGCAGCGTCGGATGTGTAGGGAGAGTAGCCCGTGCTGGGGCTCCTTCCGCCTTGTTTTTCGAGCCACACACGCGCACACGGACACACAGGCAGGTACATACATGCGCACACACATACGCGTCCTGCACCAGCGGTGGGGAAGGGGAGCGGAGCTCGGGGTTGAGAGCTGAGGTGGGCGCTGGACCCTCGGGGGGAGAGACTCCTGGTCACGCGGCGGGAGGGGTCCCTGGCAGGGCTGGAGTGGAGCTGGGGCGACGCCCGCCGCGGCAGCGGCCTCGCGAGCACCCGCAGCAGGGACGGGCGAGACCGCCACGCGTGGCAGAGCCGCAGACACAAAGCACACCGCCAGGACACAGGCTTTAAATATTAAAATATATTTATTCGCACGCTTTTGACTGAGGACACCGGGGAACCAACCTCTCATGGGAGCCCGACGCCCTCAGGCAGCATCCACAGGTAAAAACCAGATTCTAGAAATAAGTGTTTATGCAAAATATGGGTTCATAAATATACACTCGTGCCCCCTGCTTCCGTGCCGCTGTGGCCGTGCGGCGGGGACAGGAGGCGACAGCAGGTTTGGACAAGGAGCCTGCTCCCCGGGGACTGCACCCTGGGACGCGGCCTCACACCGGCCTCCCCTCGCCGGGACAGAGTCAGGAGCGCAGGGCTGTGTGGTGGACATGCGCAGAGGCACCGCCGGCCGCCCGCGCCTCCGGGGCCCACGTGTGCGTCCCCCCACCGAGCGGCTCCGCCGGCGCCTGCCTCATCCGTGAGCCCAGCGGGTACGGCGCGCGCGCGCACCGAAGGTCGAGCGCCGAAGGTCGAGCGCGACGGAGAAGCAGCAGGCGGTGCCGGCGTCTCACGCCAGCCGTCAACAAGGACTCCCGGGTGCGGCGCTCCAGGGGCTGCGCGGCTGCGGCTCAGACCGGCCTGCGAAGGCCCCGCCCGTTTGTAACAGCCCCGGGGGTAAGTCGGGACTGCGCAGTCGGCTGTGAAAGCTCGGCGGCTCACTCGTCCAGGGCTGCCCAAGGCCCAGCCAGCGCTGTCCGGCCGCGGCGGCAGGGAAAGGCCACAGAGTGTGGCCAGACAGGGCCGGGAAGAGGGGGGCGCGCCGGGCCGCTCCTCCGGCCCCTGAGCCGCCCGCGTGCCTTTGATGTGCTTCGCGTTCCTCCTCCTCGCTGTCTTCCAGACTCAGATGCACGTATGCCCCTGGCGGGAGCCCCCCGAATCTAACAGGAGACTTTGGAAGGGTCTGGCTGCTCCGTGGTGGGCGAGCGATCGTTGAGGCTCAGTCCTTCTGGGGAGCGGCTGGATGGCGTTTTCAGGGGCGCCGAAGGCCAGCCCAGGTCCCAGGCGGGCGGGCAGGGGCGCGGGCGTCAGACGCCGCTCTGGAGCTGGAGGTCCGAGGGGGCCCCCTGGAGGTCCGAGGGGTTGTCGGAGGCTGAGGACTGGCTGGGCAGAGACGCCTCCAGGTCGTGGGAAGGCCCCGACGGGGGCTTGTACAGGACGTACGCAGCGGCGAAGAAGAGGAAGCCCAGCGCCTGGGGAGAAAGGAGCCGCTGGACCCAAGGAGCCGCCTGCCCGGAGGCCCCGAGGACGCCCTGCTCTGGTGAGAGGCTGCCCAGCGTGGCGAGTCCCTGGCACGGACCCCAGCGCTCTCAGCCAAGGAACGAAAACGCCGTTTGACGGAGCGCAGAGGCACCAGATAAGAAGGGGGGCTGAGCAGTGCGCCCCCAAAGCAATATCCAAGTGCAGATCCCCGGAACCAGGGAATGGGCCCTGTCTTGGGAAATAGGTCCTTGTAGAAGAAATTAGGGAACTAGAGGCGGGAACGTACAGGGCGGGTGGGCCCCATCCAACGGCCAGTGTCCCCAGAAGAGGAGACAGAGGTTTGACTCAGGTGCACAAAGGCGCCTTGTGAACATGAGGCAGAGATAGGGGGACGGGCCTGGGAGCCCCGGGTCGCCAGCAGCCTCCAGAAGCTGGGGTCAGGCCCCGGACGGTCCTCCCTCAGAGCCCCCAGGAGAAACCGACCTTGCGGCGTCTTGACCCTGGATTCTGGCCTCCAGAGCTGCCCGCACGTCCCCACTGGTTTAAGCCACCTGGTTTGCGGGCCTCGGTCACAGTGGCCCCAGGCCCCTGACTCGGAGCTGCTGAGCCCAGGAGCAAGGCTGTGACCTGTAGGCCCCGGGAGGCAGGGCCGAGCGCAGACGTCCCCCCACCGCCTGCAGCCTCGCGGGGGTGCCGGGCCTGGGCCGCTCTGGGGCGAAGGTGCTCAGGGGCACCCGCGCCCGCGCCCCTGGCTGAAATTAGCGCGCGGTGGGGCCCCAGGGTTCAGACCAGCCCGTTGCTCTGGGCGGGGACACAGGGCATGCGCACAGGAAAGCGGGGGGCCAGCCCCCGGGGAAGGCCCTGCTCTTTAAAGCCAGCCCAGCGCTCCTCTGTGGAGCCCCCCGATCCCCGGCCCACTCGGCTCTTTCTGAGCTAACCCGCGGCGACCTACGCCAGGGTCAGCCCGAGGCCCGTCCGGACGAGGCTCCCGCCGGTGGGCACCCCCTCCCTGGCCGCCCTCGGAGCTCGGGCCGCTCGCAGAGCCCTGTGCCTCCCCTCCCGTGGGGGGAGTGCTAAACGCAGGGGGGCACCCCACCCGGGAGCCACGCCGCTGGCGGCGGCACAGAGCAGCGCAGCCCTCCTGCCACGGACCCAACACGCCGACCGGCCCGGATGGGCCAGGGCTGCGGGCGTCACTCCTCCAAAGCCGCAGCTTCCCGGCACCAGGCTCGATGGCAAAGGCCCGGGAGGCAGGGACGGGCTGCGGGCTGCGGGCTGCGGGGGCGGGGCCCCCTCGGCCACAGTGACCGCGCCGCCAGGGTCCCAGGGACAGCTCTGAGCGGGGAAGGGTGCGCTTCGGCAACGCGGGCCGCGGGCGTGATGTCCCGGCGCTGGGCTCGTCCCGGGGGCGGGCCTGGGCCCCCCTCATGACTAGGAGCTTCCAGGGCCCCCCGGCAGCCCCGCTCCCGGCAGCCGCTGCCGGCTCACCTTGTACACCAGGCCGGCGGCAAGCATGTAGCGGCTCATGGCCGCGTTCTGGTACAGGAAGCAGGAGCCCTGCTGGCCGCACTGGTCTTGCCACAGCAGGCAGGCCCTGTCGATCACCCAGCCGAAGGCGATGGGCCCCGGGACACCCCCTGCGGAGAGAAGCCGCTCAGAACCCGGCGCACAGGCCCCGCGAGGGCGGCCGTGGGGCCCAAATGCTCCTTCCTGGGGACATGGCATCAGGCTGTCTGGCCGGACATTCCCCGCGGCCTGTGAGCCCCGTGGAGCCTTTGTGGTAGCGAGGAAAAGGCACCCTCTGGGCAAAGGTGGCCGTGGGCCCCTCTCGCGGACTGTGAGGGGGCGGCACCCTGCCCAGGGACGCCCGCCGGCCCCTCCTCCCACACACGTACCTAGGGTCCTAACCACGATCCACTGGATTCCCAGCGCGAAGGACCTCTGCTGGCTGCAGACGCACCTGAGAAGGAAGACCACCACGTGAACGCCCCGGAAGCACAGCCGCCGCCGCCGCCTCCGCCGCCACGTCACACGCCCAAGCCCGCGGCGGAATCCTGGCCGCGCCCCAAGCTGCGTCATCGCCTCCCCAGGTGCAAAGCGCCGCACGGAGGCCCAGTTCTTTCTCGCCACCGCTTTGGGGGTGCTGCGGAGCTCCACCTGAGCGGGCTGCAAGGGAAGGTCCGGCCCGGAGCGGCTCCCCGGCCCGTGCTTACCGTAGCGTTGCCGTCAGCGCGGGAATGCTGCTGAGGAATGTAAAGATAATTACAACGAATATGAAAACCAGGAGGAGGGGCTTGCTCGGGCAGGCGGAAGTGCATTTCCCCGCGGTGGCATGGCCAAAACCAGAGGACAAATTCTGAAGGGCACACCTACAGTGACGGTACACCTGAGGGGCGCAACAACAGCGCGGATTACAGGAGGCAGGGGCGGCGGGGGCCCCCGGAGTCCCGGGCGTGGGCGCGGGCGCCGAGGGCAGGCCGTGCTCACCTTCTGGCCGCCGGGGCCCGGCACGGGCTCCCCCCAGCAGCCCGCGTAGCAGGGGGAGTAGTACGTGAAGCCATCGGAGCCACACACGGGGCTGTAGTGCTCGGGGCGGCAGCTGCAGTTGGCGTTGCAGGCGGCCGTCAGCTCCAGGCGGCCCTCGGGCAGGGCGCTGCTGGGGAGGGCGGGCAGTGGGACGCGGGCCGGGGCCAGGCGGACACAGGGTCGGCCTCGGTCTCGTCCCCCGGCCGCGTCTGCAGGCTCGCGGCCCGTCGGGGCAGTTCTGCCCGCAGAGCAGAGCTCCCGGCAGAGCCTGTCGCTCGCAGTGTCCTTGGAAATTGTCACAGCAAAGCCAGCCACGTGTGCCACGCACGTCCCCGCTGGCGTGTTTTTCCGCACAGGCCGCGGGGTCACGTGCTTTGACGTGAGAAGGCCCACGAGGGTCTGGCACATGAAGCCCGTGGACAGGGGCCCTGCAGCGGCCCGGCCGCCCACTGGCCACGCGTTCCCGCCGGCCGAGGGTTCGCCCACGCTCCGCACACTGAGCACCCCGCGTGCGCGCTGCGCTGTCCCCCTCCCGCCCCCGCCGCCTCTCAGAGGTGGCCCGAGGGCGGTGTCCCCTCCCTTCCGTGGTGGCAGAGCCCTCTGTGCAGGGACACCAGCCACTCAGCCAGCCCACTCTGCGCCCCCTCAGGTCCTCCTGGCCACGGCTCGGGGACGGGGCCGCCACACCGGCTCGCGCTCTGCGGGCTCGGCTGCCCCTGCCCGGGGGGGCCCCAGGAGGGGCTCGCCCGACCCCGTGTCGGCTTCAGATTCCCCCAGATCCACAGGACGGCTGCTCCCGCCCTCTCCCAGGACAGAGCGACACACGGTCCTCAGCCACTGGCCACGCCGACACGTGGAGGCCGGCCGGGCTCTCCCCGCTTTTCGCAGCCAAGAGGACTGAGGCCCCGCGCCAGGCCGGAGCCCAGGGCCCTTCGAGAGCGGACCCCCGCCCCGGCGGTGCCGTGCGTCACAGGGAGGGGTGCTGCCGTGGTAACCAGCTCCCGCCGCGGCCTCGCCCACGGGCCCAGCAGCCGGGCCGCGGCCTCACCTGCCGTTGGAGTGAGCCGTGACGCCCGCCATGGGCACGTTGGGGCAGTGCGTGAAGAAGACCAGGGTGGCCAGCAGGCTGGTCAGGGAGCAGGCCAGGCAGAACTTGACGATGCTGGGGCCGCGCAGCTTCAGCTTGTTCACGAAGAAGCCGCCCAGGAAGGTGCCGCCGCCGCCCGCCGGCACCACCAGGTACCCTGCGGGGGAGGGTGGGGCTCAGCCAGGGCCGGTGTCCCGGGAGCCTGGGGCGGGCCCTGAAACACTTGCATCTTTTTGTCCCCACTTTACAGGTGGGGAAAGTGAGGCGCAGAGCCATCGCTGTCCGGGCGGCAGCGCTGGGCCCGCTGGGGGCCAGGGCCGCCCCCAGCTCCGGCCCCGGCCCCGCCTATCCACCCACGAGGGCAGGTTGGCAGCTGCGGTGTCGGCCCTTCCCTGGGAGGCTGAGATTGGTTGGCGGGGGCTCCCGGGAAGAAGGTCGGGGCTCCAAGGGGCAACAGGCCCATCTCCCCAGCGCTGACCCGAGCCCGCTCTGGGGGGTCGGGGGAGCCCAGAGGACATGGCTGTTGTTGGGCTGGGGGTCTGGGCGTGCGAGCCGCTGAGAGACCAGGCAGGGAGAGGCGCGAGGGTGTCAGAGAAAGGGGGCGGGCCCCTCGTGGGCGGAGCGGGGCCCTGAGGGGCGCGCACGGGCCTGGGCGCTGCTTGGAGGCCCCCACCCTGCACACGCGGCGTTGGCCACACGCGCAGGCACGGCCCCTCCCCTGCCAGGCAGTCCTTAGCGGGCCGAGGCTGCCCTGCGGCCCCGAGCCGCCGAGGAGGGTCCTCCCTCTCCGGGTAGGGCCAGCCTGCTCTGGCCACAGGATGCCTGGGCCGAGCAGGTCCTCTGACGCCCGGACAACTGGACGCCTGGCTTGGGGGCGCTCGCAGGCTGAGGCCCTGGGCAGCGGGCGGGGTGCAGGCCAGTTAGTGCCCACCCCGTGCCGCCCCGCAGCGGGGACGGCCTGCTCCGGTCCCCGGTCAGACCCGGGAGCAGCACCGCCCGGCCCCTCGCCCTTGGGCCCCCCACCCAGGCTGGGCCACGCGGGGACAGCGCGCCTGGGCCTTCCAGAACATACTCTCACAGAGAACCAGCGAGGGCCCCGAGGGCCCCCGAGACGCAGGGCCTTCCTCACCGAACAAGGTGGCAGCTTCAGAGGCGCTCAGGCTGAACTGGGACTCGAGGAACTTGGGGCCGAAGGTGGACATGCTGGCGATGAGTGTGGCCTCGGTGGCGCCCGCCAGGCAGAGCAGCACGAAGGCGGGGTTCCGCAGCAGGAGCCAGGCGGAGCTGCGGGGGGCGGGGCGGCGGGCGGGGGGCGGGGAGACGGGGGTCAGCGGGGCCCGGCCCAGCGCGGGGGAAGCCGCGGGCTGCGGAGCCTGTGCCCGGACCCCTAGGGAGGTCCCGCGTTAGGGACACACGTGTGGCCACCGGGCGGCTCTGACCTGGCTCTGCTGAGCTCAGAGTCACCGCCGAGAGGCGCTCGGGGGCGGCTGAGGGGCACTGTCCTCCTGGGCCTCCTGCCCCGAGAGTCGTACCCCTGAGGCCACCCTCCCACCAACGCGCCCCGCCCCGCGCTTGCCGGAGCAGCTTGGGACACGGGGCTCCCCCGTGCGCGTCACGTTGGGGACAGAGGCCAGCGGGAAGTGGGATCCCGAGAAGCAGGACTGCGCAGGGCGGCCAAGGCCAGGCCCGGTCCCCCCGACCCCGGAGCAAGCAGGGGGCCGCCTGGTGACGGGACCCCCGCTCGGCCTTGCCGATACAAGGGACTCGCTTGGCCTCACTTCAGGGGAGCCCGGTTCCGCCCACCCAGCTTTCTCACCGAGCGCTGGGGAGGCCGCAGAGAGTGCTTGTGGCCGGGGGGGTGGGGCGCGGGGGCTCAGGGCAGCGGGGCGCCCAGCACCCTCTCGGCCCGGCCCAGGTCCCGCCCCCGTGGCAGGGCCTCGCCGGCAGGGAGTGGCGCTCTCGGCGGCAGCTCTCTGAGCAGGCAGGCGGACGCCCTGGCGCCCCGCCCTGGCCTGCAGGTCGCTGGGCAGAAGTCCCCATGTTGAATGTGCCCGGGGAGCGAACCAGCCGTGGCCCCAGCAGCGGCACCTGTCACGGGGCCATTCTACTGCCAGCGACTGGTTTGGGGAACCAAGCCTGGGCATGAAGGTCCTCACGTCAGCCCCCAGCGCCCGGGGCTGCGGGGGACCCCAGCTGCCGACGGGCTCAGTGCCCAGCTCGGAGCGGGCGTCAGGGAGCGGTGCTCCCTGCCCCGGCCGGCGTGGCCCTGGGCCGGCTCCCCCTCGTGGGGGCACCCTTTTAAGGGGGCCAGACGCACCTGGGCCCCACCTCCCACTGAGACGCTAGCAGCCCAGGGCTCTGATTGCGAATCAGGACAGCAGGCAAGACCTCACCCCCGAGGAGAGAGTGGAGCCCCGGGCCGCGTGCAGGGCCAGCTGATGGCCTGGTTGGAGGATGCAAGAAAGAGCGGCTGAGGCCAGGAAGGGGCCAGTCTGAGGGAGGTCCGGGGATCAGACGCGTGTCCCCGGGGCCAGGGGTCATGAAGGAGGCTTAGGAGCTGCGCCTCCCCACGGGACCCTGGAGGGTCCCTCGGACACTCCTGGTTTGGGGCCACGGCTCAGCGTGCGTGGGGCCCCCAAGGGGCCCGGGCGAGCGGCGCACGGCCAGGGACGGCCCCTCAGCTCCTTACAGAGGCAGGTCGCGGATGGTTTTCCCGAAGTCAGGGCCGCTGTCCTTCAGCTGGTGCGTCTCAGAGGCCCTGACGACCACGTAGTGCTGGGAGCCTGGGAGGGCACAGACGTCGGTGAGAGGCAGGGACCCCTGCCGGGCTGGGGACCCCCATGGGACAGGCGGCGTGAGGAGGCACCGCGGTGGCAAGAGGTGAGACAGAGCTGGTGGCACAAGCCGGGACCAGAGGGAAGAGAGAGCGTGCTCCTGCCCCTCACGGAAACCAGCTTCTCCCTGGCCTGGGGAGCGGGGGTGCCCTGCCGGCCGGCCGGCCGCGCCCTGCGGGACGGCAGACCCTCCCGGCTCGCTCGTCTGGGGGCCCCCGCCTGCCCCGCGGCCCGCACGCCCGGGAGGCACCCACCTGGCAGCTGCCGCGGGTAGCCCAGGATGGGGACCGCGGTGAGGAAGGCGGCGGCCCCCGCGCCCAGGAAGCCCACCCACCAGGCGCCGACCCACAGTGGGCTCTCGGTGGTCAGCTCGGTCCTGCAGGGGAAGAGAGCGGGGTCAGTGTCCCGGGCTTGTGGGCTGGGCGCCCCTCGGCGTGCCGGTCCACGCAGGCCAGGGGGAGGGCGTAGACAGGGAGGGGCACGGCCCCACCTACCTCCTGCACTGCCCAGAACGTGCACATTTGACACCCAATTTAGTCAACCTGAGGCCACAGGTGGCATTTGTACCAGGGCAGAGCACTAGAGACCTCGACGGAGGCGCGCCATCTGCAGAGAGAGTCCGAGGGGTAGCCCGCGGCGCCCGCCCGAGCCTCAGGAGGCGCCGGCGCCTGCCGAGAGGGTGCGGCCCGGAGGGTGGGCCACCTGCAGAGCCCAGCGCGGTCGGACACGCCTCCTTCCCTCCCCGCCCTCTCATCTCCCTCTGTCTCTCTGTCTCCGCGCTCTCTCCTTCTGTCTCTCCATCTCTGTCTCCTGTCTCTCTCTCCTGCTCAAATGCCCCAAAACTAGCATCACAAGCAAAACACGCAAGGAAATGGAAGAAACACACAGCAACACAACAGGAAGCGCCACTTTGGTTTCTGGCCTGGCCCCGGCGCGGGACTCCTGAATTCTCTGTGATTTCTGGGTAATGGCAGCACCTCGTGTTCAAACGCGGCTACTCTTGGTGGGTCCCTGAGAGCTTCGGGGGGGCTGGTTGCCAGGGAGACCCACCACAAGGCCACACCTGCGAGGAGAGGCCTCCAGGAAACCGACACGAGGGTCCAAGAGCCCCGGGGGGAGGCGGCCGGGCACGGGGAGGAGCTGGGAGGGTGGCATCTGCCCGATGCCGAGCTCCGCCCCTTCCTGCGCGGTGCCCGCGCTCGCGGCCACCTGTCTGCCCCTGCATTGTTTGCCCTGTGAGGAGGTGATCGAGTGAGCAGTGGGCCTTTCTGAGGTCTGGGAGCCACCGAGCACGTCACAGAGGACGAGGAGGCCGTGAAACTCTCTGTGTTGTGCCCAACGGGTCAGAGCGTCCGGGGGACCTGGTGTCCTTACAGGGGGCGGCCTTGGGGGACTGAGCCTGTAACCGTGGGGGCCGTCGGTGTCGGAACGCAGCTGGACCCGGGACACCCCGCCGACATCGGGGAATCGCCTGGGGTGGGGACACCTACAGAGAAGCACCTCACACCAGCAGCAGGGAAACCCACTCTCAGTTCCACAAAGGGCATCAGAGGAACCTGGCCCGGCCCCGCGAGGCTCCGGGAAGCTGTCCGGCCCCCTGCCCGCCACCCCCGCCTCTTCTCGAAGCCACGCCCGGGCCAGCACGTGCCCAGGGGCTCCCCGCACATGGCGTCCCCCTGCGTGGACAGGGCAGCAATTTCGCTGCCGGCGCGGAGAGCTCAGGCCACTCACCTTCGGCCGATTTCCGTGTACACGTTCAACAGGGCGCCTCCGATGAGGTAGCCGGCCGCGGGGCCGAGGATGGCCGCCGTGTAGAAGATGGCTGCGAGGGAAGCAGAGCCGTGGGGCGGCCGCCACGCCCGCCCCCCGCCCCGCCCCCACCGCACGGCTCGCAGCAAGGGACACTCGATGCCACGCAGGCTGCCCGGGGGAAGCAGCTCCCCACGCCGGCCGTTCTGCGTCCGGTGGTCCCCCGCCCCGGGACGGATCCCTTCAAACCTGGGTTTTCGTCTCTGAAATCCAGCCAGGGCCAATGTTTTAAGGGGATTTTAAAAAATTTCTAAGAGCCCTGGCTGGTGGGACTCAGTGGACTGAGCGCCGGCCTGCGAACCAAGGGATCGTCGGTTCGATTCCCAGTCAGGGCCCAGGCCTGGGTTGCGGGCCAGGCCCCCAGTAGGGGGCGTGCGCGAGCAACTCCACATGGAGGTTTCTTTTCCTCTCTTTCTCCCTTCCTCCCCTCAATAAATAAAATCTTTAAAAATTTTTCTCTCAAAGCCAAACTCACAGGGGTCCTTGGGGTTCCTTCCCCACCCCTAGCAGTCCCCGGGGCCACACGGGACCACACGGCACGCCAGGCGGCAACAGGAAAACACGCAGAAGGGACCAGGCTGTGGCCAACATCGCCATCCTGCCGCCCGCCGGCCTCACTCACCGATGTAGACGGGCGAGCAGCTGGACTTGACGTTCTCGTCCAGGTAGGTGACGCCCAGCGTGTACAGCGGCGTGGCGCCCACGCCGTGCAGGAACTGGCCCAGCATGAAGACCAGCCGGTAGGCGGACAGGCCTGAGGTGCGGCCCCCGCAGGCCACGCGGCTGTGGTTGGCCGGGCACGTGCCGAGGCCCTCGTCCAGCTCCACCTCGTAGGGGCCCGTGGTGAAGTGCGGCAGCGCGAAGACCAGCGAGCCGACGCCCATGATCAGCACGCCCCAGCCCAGCCAGCGCGGCTTGTGCCCGCGGCCCCCGAAGTAGCCGACGAAGGTGAGGCACAGGCAGGCGGCCAGGTCATAGGCGCTGGCGATCAGGCCGCTCTGGTAGCTGTGCAGGTCGTAGCGACGCTCGATGGAGGTGATGACGGTGTTGATGAAGCCGTTCACGGTCATGCCCTGCAGGAAGGAGGCCGCGCACAGGAAGAGCAGGAAGCCCTGCGGCGTGTTGAGGGCCTGCAGGCACTCGGGGGCGAAGCCCCGCCAGCCGCACTCCGAGTCCCGCGGCCCCACGGGTGCGTACCGCACCCCACGGGCCGCCCGGGCACCGTGCTTCTGGGCCGGCGGCTGGCACAGCGGCTGGCTGCAGGAGTCCAGGGGGCTGTGGGCGGCCGGACGCAGGGCGCCCAGGCCCAGCGGGGAGCCCGGGGACGCCCGCCTGCCGGGGGGGGCGCGGCCGTCCCCGTCATCCAGGGCGATGGGGGGGCCGGGGAAGACCAGCTGCGGCGCGGAGATGAGGGGCTTGTCCCCCATCACGTGCTGGGGCATCCCCGCTCAGGCGGCCACGGAGGTTGTGTTCTAGCAGCCGGTTTGTTCTGTGAGAAGAATTTCTGATGAGTGAACGTGCGTCCGCCCACGGGCACGCTAACATCTCGGGGAGCCCACGCCTGCATGCCCCCTCCCCCGCGGCGGCTGACGGCTCCACCTGCCCGGTGGGTACCTGGTCGGGTGGGGTGACCCTCCCTGACCAGCCACCCCCCCCCCCCGCGAATGCAGGGCCCCGCCGGGACGCGCATGCTCAGGGCAGTGTCTCCGGCCACAGCTGGGCTGGGGTCGTGGCGTGGCCCGGCCCACCCTGACCGCCCCCCAGCTGAGTTGCGGATTCTGGCACTTGCAGCCCGGGCACCCCGCCCACACCGAGCATCAAGCTCAGCCCTCGTTCTTCTTAACCCCACGCCGTGCCAGCTCTGTGACCCTCCGCGCAAACAAGGAATCCATCTTAGTATCTTAGTCCAGACTCTGGGGGGTGTGGGAAGTGAGCAAGGGGACACGGCCGGGCGCAGACCCCCAACCCCTGGGAGCGCAGCTGCCGTGGGGTCCGGCAGCAGGAGTCCTGGCAGACAGACCGGGAACCGCCCAGGGCAATGGGGGTGGGGACCCGGTGGGACCTCCCCCGCTTGGGAAGGCAGTTTTGCATTCGGGGAGGCTGAGCAGCACCCACCCCCCTGCGGCCCCTCCTGCGGCAGCCCGTGACCCCCGCGCCCTGCGGCTTCAGCCTCGGGGCTGGGGGCTCCCAGTCCTCCCACCACGACCCCATCCTGCTCCTGGGCCTCCGGCAGGGCCACGGCGCCGAGGCAGCGGGCGGCGGGCGAGAGGCCTCCGCCGTGGTCCTCCGCGGATTGGAAGGTCGCACCCGCCCAGCTCAAGACGAAGCCTGGTCCCGGCCCCCTCTTCCCTCACCGTGACGTCACACCCTCCCGGACTCCGGCGGGGAGTCGCTCATGTGCACCTGGCCAGAGCTCCCCATACAGTAAAGGAAGTGGGCCAGAGGGGCCAGCAGCGCGCCCAGGGCCCCTGGCCAGCCCGTGGCAAGCAGCACCCACCATGCTGGCTGTCCTCCGAGCCCCGTGCGTGCGTCACCGCCGCCCTCACTGTCATCTGACCGAGTGGCATTTACACGCAGGCCGGCTGTTTACTTTGGAGACCGGGCCGCCGGGCTATCTGCGGCCGCATGTCAAGGCTGTGGGTGGACCGCAAAAGCGCCGCCGCAGCCGTTCCTGGGGCTGGCGCTTTATTTACAAGCCACCGCCCTGTGCGAGCTGGGGCTGGCACGCCGGGCTCGGGTGCGAGAGAGCGAGTGGCCGCAGGGGGCCGCCAGAGCTTCCTGCTGGACAGAGGGGGCACCCGCTCGCAGCAGCCCTGGCTGCAGCTGCCGGGGCGACGCCGGTGCACACGCAGGAGGCGGGCACACGGAGGGCGCGGGGCTGCGTGGAGAGCGACCAGCTGGAGCCCGCGCGCAGGACGGCCCGCCACCACCCGCCCTGCAGCTCGGGTGCGGCCGCCACAGACAGGGACGCAGGGAAATGCAGACAAGGCGTGACCACCTGAAACCCCAGGGCCAGAAGCCACCTGTGTCTTTTGTCTTGATGTGTGTACACACACACCCCCACGTGTGCACACACGTGCCCACACCCACAACTGCCTGCACGTGAGCACACGCAAACCACAGGGCACTGGACCTCAGTCTGGGGCAGAACAGATCCCCAAGGGACGGAGCCCGCCTGGCCGAGGGGCCGGCGGGGTCCCTCGAGGCCACCCAGCGGCCTGTGTGGGGTGGAGGGTCAGTACGGCAGCCCCAGGAGCGACCTGTGGGCGGTCATTTCCAGCCAGTGACCTGCAAACGCAGGACCAACGCCTGGTGGCCATGAAACTGCCGCCCGCACGTCCCCTCCACGCCGCCCGCAGGCTCCGGCTCAGCTCGCCCCGGCAGCAGGGGTCAGGGCTCCCGCCGCTTTGTCACTAGGAAAGGCCCCGGAGACACAGAGAACCTCCCGTCGGAACGCAAAGCCGCCCCGAACGCGGACCACGGGCGGTGGGCAGTCTCCCCAGCTCTGCGGTCAAGCCTCGCCAGGGCCGAGCGCTGGGGCCTCTGACACAGGCGGGCAGCGGGCAGCCCAGAGCCTCCGGTCACACACGTGAGGATCGGCTTGCTGAAAGGCTCATCATGGCCCCGGCTGGCGCGGCTCAATGGACCACGCGCTGGCCTGTGAACCAAAGGGCCGCCGGTTCGATTCCCAGTCAGAGCGCAGGCCTGCAATGTGGGCCAGGCCCCCAGCAGGGGGCGCACAAAAGACAATGATGCATGGGTGCCTCTCTCCCTCTCTTTCTCCCTCCCTTCCCCTCCGGCTGGAAGTAAATACATAAAATTTTTTTTTTAAGTCATTTTAGAGGGTAGCCGGCGCCCCACTGCTGGCTGCTACCCACACACGGTAAGAATTAGAGGTTCTGGATCCGGGGGTGACGCGGAAGCCCCCCCTCCTCGGGGGCCCTGCTCCTCCTCAGCCCAGTGACCACGGCGCTGCTCCGGGCTCCTGCCCCGCGGACGGCGGGATTCTCTCTCCGGAGGCTCCCGGCCTTATCAGCGCATCTGGATCGGAAGGAGGAGCCGTGCGCCCCAGTGACTCGGGCGCTGAGGTGCCAGGGAAGCTGGAACATGACACCCCACCATGAAGCCGTGGCGTCTGGAGCCCCCCGTCAGGGCGGCCAGGTCCTGGGGGCGCCCCCGGCTGTGCAACACCCGGGCTCTCACAGCCTCCAGGTCGGCCCCACATTCCTAGGAACCTCGAGGAAATGTCCCAGTTTGTGTGGCTGCCGGAGCCCCTCCCGCAGAGGCCAGGCCTTGGTCCTTACCTAACCGCCGGCCCCCAGGGCCCTGTTCCCCACCCTCCGCCGTTGCCCCAGGACCAGAGACAAGGTCTCCCTCCGGGCGCTCCAGCTACGCGGCCCCAGGCCTGGGGTCTGCCTGGCGCACCCAGCACCCCCCTGCCGTGGCCACGGGGCTCAGGCACAGCCCACAGAGAGCCCGCTGGGGGCAGGGGATGCCCTTGGTCGGGTGGGAAGCGGCAGTCTCCCAGCCGGGACCGGGAGCGGGGAGGGAGCCCAGGGCTTCGGTGGGGAGGGGGCGGGTGGGCGCACACGTGCACAAAGGAGCACCTGCTGGCCCACCGGCCGCGCCCCACCTGCTGTGAAGAAACCCAGGCTGCCCCAGCTGCGCTGTGAGAAGTCCGTGGCCCGCGGGCAGCTCGCCGTGGCCCCGTCTGTGAGGACTGGGGTCCCGGCTTCCGTGAAGGGCCAAAATGGTTTGCGACACTGGTCCGGCTCCTCTTATTCCTTACATGCCTCTGCCGGTCCCCGCAGGCTTCCTTTGCGTCCCAAAGCGGGGCAGTCAGGGAGGAAGCAGCGGGGCCGAGAGGGGCACGTTAGGCCCCCGGGGGGGAGTCTGGCTGCAGGGCTCCGGCCCAGCACATGTCCCCGGGGGGGGCCTTCCCTTTTGAGCAAGGCCTTCTGGGAACCTGGCTGCCGGCTGCCGGGGAAATTGCAGATTTCATTTCTTCTTTCTCATTATGTGCCAGCAGTAAAGCCCCTCCTGGCTGCACCTGGCGCGTCTGAGGCCGGCGGCCATGACCCACGGCACTGTGGCACGTCCCGTGCCCCGGCCGAGCCCCAGCACCCCGGCTGCCGCGGCCGCCCCGCATGGCCCGGTAGGCGCCTTTGGTCCTTGCCCCGTGATCCCTGGACTCCCCAGGTGGCCGGCCTCTCTCCGGGGCCCATCCTGGCATGTGCCCCAGGGTGGGGGCCTTGACGTCTTCGAGGGGATGCTCAGAGCTGCGTACGCTGCCGGCGCCCCATGGCCGGAGCTGGGGCGGCCGGGCCGTGCCCGTAACCCCGATTTGCATATTTTGAGAGCAGGGAGCCGCTGGGCACGGAGGCTGACAATAGAGGATTGTCTGAGGGCGAGTGGGGGAGGCCTGTCCTCCAGGGAGAGTCCTGTTGTCTCAGCACAGAGGTTCCTGTTCCCACGCTTGTCCCCAGCTCCCGAGCCCCAGCGTGGGGAAGGGGGGGTGAGCCGGCGGGGGCACGGAGGGAGCTCACGACTTCCCAGTTCACAACGTTCAATCCAAAGAAAAAAAGAAGAGCCACCCCCCGCCCCTCCAGGGCAACGCCCAAGCAGAGAGGGGACGCGGAGGGGCTGCCTCAGAGCCAGGCAGGTGTCCGCCTCGGGCCGGGCCTCTCTGGGCCTCGGTTTCCCTCCTGGGATGGGGCTGGTGTCCGGGGGAGGAGCCCGCTGAGGGAGGCCCCAGGGTCTGGGCGCCCCTGTGGCTCCTGAGAAACGCAAACTAACAGAGGGGTCTCCCCGGGACAGGGCACTGGGGGCGCAGGCTCTGTTCCCTTGGCCACCTGCCGGGCAGAGGCTGGACTAGGCCGTGCCGGGGGGCCTTTCAGGCCCGTGGGTCCACATGTGAGGCCCATGGTGCCGGCTGAGAGGTAGGTGCCCGAACACCTAAGGGCCGAGCAAGCACAGGGCGGGGGTGGGGTGCCGCCCTCGGCCCTGCCCATCCCAGGTGCTCCGTGGCTCAGGCCGAGAGGTGACCCCGAGGTCTGCCAAGTGAGAACATCACTGAGAAGAGGCGGCCCCCACGGGCGAGGGTGCTCACGTGGGGGCCAGCTCAGTATCGGGGCGGGGGCCAGTTGGGAGCCCCCAGCCCAGGGGTCCTGGACACCCATCAGCAGAGCGGCCTGGACCTTGGCCAGCCCGCCCTGCCCTGTGCGTGGGCCTCGCCGTGAGCAGCATTTACAGAAGACACGTGGTTTGTGACAGCGTCCACCAGTCCCCAGAAATGTGGTCTGAGAGCTAATTCCGTGCAGTGCGGGCGGAAACGGGGTTGCACCGTGGCCGCGGAGGGGAACAGGTGTGTCTGAGGACGGCAGCCCACGCGGGGACGCGGCTCTCGGGCCGGTGCCTGCCCCTCCCCCCCCTCCCCCCGTCC